AATATCCGAAACCACCGATCTTGGAAAATACCGCCGCTGTCGAGCCACAACATGAGGACCAAATCAACAAGCATGAAGAATCTGACGATTCCGTAGAAGTGCCACCACAGCTAGTTAAACCAGCCGTACCGGTTAGGCCGTTGCCACCTAGTAAATCTAAACCGCTAAAGGCACAATTGACTGCAGCCACCGTACCTTTGCCACCTACCCCGGAACCAACGCCACCAGTCGTTAAGAAGCAGCCGGGTAGAAAACCACCACAAGCGAATAATACGAATGATAAGTCAATGAGACCACCGAATAAGCAACGTGTACCACCAAATAAATCTAATCAACCAGCACCACCTCAAAAATCAGCGAAACCTTCAAATAAGGCGCCGTTACCTCTATCGTAAAAGAGGGCAAACTTCGTGCAAATGCTTATATAAATAGTTAAAATTTTTTAACACCTTACTCAAAGTACATACACACATACATAATTTTATGAATACAGTCAGTTATTCAAGCGGAATTTCAATAAAATCAACACCACATAGCATTTGGAAGATTACTTTAATAAAAAATCGCCTAAATGAGTCTGCTTCGATCACCTTTGATCGAATTGATTAATCGCTTCCACCGCTTAAAAAATACTCGAAAATAACTTACGCTTACCCATGAAAAGTGATTTGTTGAAAGTATAGAAACGTAATGTAGGGCATTCACAGATTGATCATGCTGGGGATGGAAATGTGATCGTTTCTTTTGCTATTTAAAAAAAAAACATTTGCTTCAGCTGCTTTTGCTTCTAACAGCATATTTTTTCATAACTTTTGGTCAAATTTTAACAGTAATAGTCGAGCCGTGGTGTGAAGTGTGTTGTGTAAAAAAATTGCAATATACATATGCAAGGTAGTATGGCCTTATATTAATGTTTTTTATCTAGATATTTGCCATCTCAAATTCAAAAGAACAGACCAAGAAATAAACAAACATACAAAATAATTTTGTGCGTGCTAAAGACAGGCTGGAAAAACGAAAATAAACAACATTGCAAGTACAAAATGCAAAGAACCGCGCAATTCTTAAAATGGATTTCTTGATTTCAATATTTTAATATTTTTAATTTTTTTATAAGTATTGGCACAAAAAAGCGTTTTGCACGCATGGTGAAAGTTTTTATCTTATTTCTTATCGTTAATTTTTTATAAAAACAAAGATACAATTTCAAAACTTTGTGCAAAACTCAGGAAAATTTAATAAACTTCCAACTTTGCAATGCGATTATTGGCAATTTTTTTCTGAAAGTGTCTTACATACAAAGTATGAGCTCTGCATAAAGTTTAGACATTTTATTTATATATTTGTTGTTGTAATATGAGCTAAGTTTTTACAAAAAATTAGCGAAAAGAAATTGGAACAAAAAAACTTAACATAAGTTGGGAAAAGTTCTCGGTGTCAATGACTCTTATCCAGGAGGGTAAATTTGAAATATTTTCAACTGTAATAATGGGTTTTATTAAAAACGATTTCGCTATTTCATTAACTCTTGTTATAAATTAATTTAATATTTATTTTATTTTTCGCTGCGCAAACGACTACGAAAATAGATTGAAAAAGTACTCGGTAAAGACTCGAAAATTATTAGAAATATGAAATAAGAAAAATACTCGAATATGATCAATAATTTCAGAAAATGGTGGTTGGAAAATGTGTAAATTGATCAACCGCACTGTTCCAAAGCGTACGTTAAGTTCGAAAGACAATGGCAAACGTCCGGGTGTTACTTATGCCTTGATAAAGTTTCTCATTAAAACAAACCTTTGCCGTTCGGTATCGGAGTAAGTAAGTAAACCAAACTCCTGAGACGGGTAGCTAGTATTTCCATTCATAGTTTAATAAAATTTCATGCTAGCAACCGTCGCGATTATTTATCTGTATTTAATCCAGTATCTACAGAATTCGCTGTTGGCCCTTTTCGGATCCTCAGGGTGCACTATGGCTGAAATAAGCACTTTCTGCGGCCAAAAATCCAAATTTCAGTTTTGCTTTCAAAACTTTTAACAGGCAGCCTTTATTCAAGATACTCTCATTAGAAAAGAAATCATAAATTTATGACCGCAAGGTAACCCTGGGCCCCTATCTGTCAACGGAAATTTTGTGGTTTTGGTTTTATTTTGAGCTAGAATTTTATTATATTGAATTGCAGTGCAAAGCGGATGTAATTTGCCACATACTTTCATTTGGTGTATGCATTGTTTGCCGCATCTTGCTGCTGTTTTACTATTTTCAGACGTTATTAAAGTCAAAAATGAACAAATATTCAACGTGTGAATTTTTTTTTTAAATGGAACATACATGCGTTTACAACAGAATCGGATTCTGCGGACAAAAATTCGTAGCTTTTGTTAGAAAGGTTTCCCTGGAATAGACTTCCGGTTAAAATAATGGACTTCCGGTCTGTTTAACTAATTTCCGGTCGAATCCGGAAGTCGGTAATACGACCAAAAGATAGAGCATCCTCGACTTAGTAGTTCATATTTTTCCGTTTCCCAATAAAAACATTTTCCTTCATTTGAGAACGCTTACCTGTATTGCACAGTGGTTCAGCCGGAGGTAAAAACTCAAAAATACGCCCATTGTGTAACCCGGATTGATTGACAGCCAATCAGTCATTATTAATGGTACTTCATTACAGTCTACTATTTTTTGCGATAAAAAAATTGTTTAGATTATTTCTTCACCCTCCAAAGTTTGATATTTTCACACATTTTCATTGGGACTCGTGTTTTCAGTGACTCAATACTTCTAACTTTTTTATATTTATTTTATGAAAAGCACGGAATTCATTCAAGAAACTCTGAAATGCAAATTCAACAAAAAGGTAGGGGGCTCCTATTTGGAACAATAGTTATTAATATTTATTAAAAGTTGTCAAGTCTATTTGCCCTTAGTGAATTTATTTTTAAATTTTTTTATATTAACTTTTAAAAACCCTGCCACTAAGCACCATACTTTATTTCTGCTTTGTTTTTAATTAAAGCCCATTTCCTGTAGATTAAAATAATATATATTTTAGCTGCACATTTTTGCACGGTTATTTGATACACGTCCGCTTCTAGCCGAATATTTAGCTAAATATATTTTGTTTACAAGCTTTTATTAACTTTCACCTGTGTAATCAAATCTGAAAATCCATTTTAACCAACATCTCGATGAGGTAGAGACTTGAAACTGAAAACTTAGCTCAGAACCCATTGACAATGCAATATGAAAGATGAGTTAATCCGCTAGGTGGCGCAGGTATCGAGATATTTGAAAACCCGTATTTATGGTCCGTATTTTTGACAAAACATGCTACCAAATTGCAGCCTGCATCACTAAAGCCATATAAATTAAGGTTTCAAACTTTTCAAACTGTACAAAATTTAGGAAAATTCAAAAAATTTTCATTAAAATTTCTAACTTCATAATCGGAGTAAAAACTCCGTTTTATAGGTTATGAAATTTTAGTATGATAAAGAGCAAGCTTCTAGAGGTTGAAAATTCGCGTTAATTTTTGAAATTTTATATCTAAACGTACGATAGAGCTTAGTGCCCAAAACCGCCTCCCGACGAAATACCAAACAGTAGTACCGGAAGGTATACGGTACAGCAGACAGACAAGTACTTTTAGTTCGGATTGCAGTTCCACTCGACGCGGGTTAGGCTTTCGACGCGTTCTCCTTGTAAACAAAAAAAAAAAACATATTATCGACGGCTGAGTGGAAGATCGACCCATCTCGGCAGCCAGTTCGAAAACGCCCTATCCTAAATTTTTCAAGAACGCCCTAATTCAGAATTCGGTTCAAAAACGCAGCATATCAACATAATTTTCAATATATTTTCAGTTAAGATAGGGTGTTTTAGAACCAAATTCTGAGATAGGGCATTTTTCAATCCAGTTCTGAAGTGGGGCTTCCTTGAGCCATCTTCCGAGATGGGCGTTTTCAAACCGGCTGCCGTGGTAGGTTGTTTTTCCACTCTGCCGTCAGTATGTTGTTCCAACATTCGCCGAGCTCTCATATCGAGAAGTACTGTACAGCCTTCTCTAGCTAGTCAACTCGTACTTAACACTATCGTTAAACCCTAGATAAAGGTAACAACTAATGTTGTCTGTCTAAAAGCAACCGGAAAATTTCGATTTTTCTTTACATAATTTCTTCCCAAAACAATACTTGTATACCACTATGCCACTTCCAAAAGTGCCTTGTTAAAAGCTTATATCATTTTACGTTAAGATAATAAGTTTAATTACGAAATACATACCCATGTTATGTGATAATCATAAGAGACAAACATACATATACACCATCGCGCGAGTATACAGTATCGGTCATATCGATAAGTAAAAGTGATGTTCTTTGCCACTCATGTTTATTTATTTACGTTTTCAGAATTTTCAATTTAAATACAGTTCATTTTCTATTAAAACCATAAATCAAACTACAAAAAAAACAGCAAATTTTACCTTTATTTTTTTAGAATTGGCTTTCAGGCATTTGCTTCCATATAACGAATCAACACATTTTTTTTACATGGAAGAAAACTCCAACACCTTCGGAAAAAATATTTAAAAAGATCAACGGTAATTTTTAGGCACTTGAAACATGCACATTATTGCACTGAAATTGAATGGGCTATAAGACTGTATCCTTAAAAATTCCAAGGCTTCTGAGAAAAAAGTTTGAATTATTTTTTTTTAGTTTTTTACAAAGTTTCAAACTTGTGCTTATATGGGCTTTGTTAGAGAATGAATTGTAAATTAAAATTTTTAAAAATAAATTAATAAACACAAATGTCAAAAAATTTCACTTTGAGATGGGGGTGCTTTTGGCATGACCGATACTGTATGTACGATAACCATAATGTTTTGTAAGATTAAATGAAAAGAAATGTTCGATATTTTTTTCGCGAACTGGCAAGTGCTTCACATCTACAAGCTTTGGTCTTAACAAGTCTTAACAAGTTGATTAAAATTCTTTTCGGGGCGTATACAAGATTGTTACACAGCATGAAGCCTCATATAAAAAGGGATCGAGCGAGCAACTAAAATCAGTTCTTCCAACAAAGGCGGTGCAGTAAAGCGGCGAAATCATGAAGACAGGTGATTATAATTAGCAAAAGGACAATGTAATAGAGTAGCGGCATTCCAAAATGCGCGGGGGTTTTGATCATCTTTGTTTGAATTATCATCAACATTTATTTTCTGGGATATTGCATCTAAACAAAAATAAAATTGTTTATAAACGTCACGCATTCTGAATAAGCATTTCTCCTCGTCTATTTGTGTATTTCTTTTTGCAGTACTGACGCTTGTTTGCATTATATCTGCTGCCCACTACGTGACTGCGGATTGCAGTTTGCTGAAGACTTTCACCACCGAGCTGCAGCCGAATTGTTCTGCAAACGATATTTATATTAAATTTCCTAACTACGCAAATCAAAGCACTTATTATTCATGTTTACAAGTTGGAAAGGCACAAGTGGTACCCTGCCCAGCGGGATATTATTTTATATATGTGATGCAGCAATGTGGCCCATGTGCCAGCTATATTCCACCAGTTCCGTGTGAACAACTCAAAACACAAAATCCGCCAATTTGCGTAGCCATTGGATCGAGCAACAGTAGCACAACAATAGCTTCATCTACTGGCACTTCTAATTATCCTACACCTGTCTATCCATCTACGTCACAGTCAACGACAGCAACAGCAACAGCAACAACAGCAACTACGACAAACTCAAGAAGAACAACTACTACTGCAGTAACACCGCCAACTGTGACAGTGACCACTGCAGCTACAACTGTTACAACTAGCATTCCCAGGACCTCCTAGTCCAGCTACATCCAATCCAAATGTTCCTGTACCACCAACACCCGCTCCAACGCCACCAACCATTGAAGATGGAGCCACCAGTTTCAGCTACTTAAAAAGTTAATTAAAGATGATTGCTAATTTGTACGGATGTGTGAAAAACCATGTACGCTCAAATATAAAATAAAATTGCAACAGAAATAGAGAAAACAAATAGGCTTCATCGGTAATGTGTCTACTTGCGTGCATACCTTATTTTATAACTACACCACGCTCTCAACGAATTTCATCTTCAGAAATTATTATTTGAATTAGCTTAGCTCTCGATATGGGAATAGTTTGCTGCACATTTCGTTGTTTAATGCTGAGGGTGATTTATTTTGGAACGAATTCCCGTCATCCTTTGTCAAGTTTGGTTCGGAGAGAAACCGCTCTATTACGTTCTCCAAAACTAATATTGTCGAAGGCGATCACATGACACCGTTTGTCCAAATTCAAAGTTATTTTGTAGCTCTGAAGACAATACATACGGGTGTGTCCGTAGACCTTCTCGCCCTATATAGGCATGCAAAGGAGTCTGAAGGAGGATATTTGATCTTATTTCATTGTCGCAAGTCGTCTCCATTGCTTTAGCTTAAATCAAATTAGGCCCACCGACCCGAATGATATAGTTTTCAGGATGAAGATTAGCCGCCCCCTCTATACCACACCTAAGGTACGTAAGAGAGTGGTAGGAGCCCACACAACTCTTCAATAGTTAGCACTGAACTGATATTTTCTACCCAAAGACGCATTGTAGTGATGAAATGAGTCCAATGCTCATCCAACTGACCGCTAAGTGAATTGGGGGACTTTCGCCAGTTTCGTGTCTGTTGAAGAAGTTCCGAACTCTTGAGTCTCTATGTATTTTTTAATGGGAACATAATACGGAATGTGGGGAGAAAGCAGGGGCAAGTCGGTGACCTCATTGCTTGCCTGGTGTAGCTCCTCTAGTTAAAGCTCTTATTCAGGGACATAATAGCAATAAGTTTTATCTCAAAAACGTTGATCCATAGCAGCTTTAAGAAAAGAAATATAGTATTTGTTATTTCGCCAATAAGAGTTTTTTGGTCCCTTTCTTTTAATCTATGTATGACTTTTTTCACAGTGACGTCATAGTCGGAAGTCTTCTCGTTTCCCGGTGCATCACAAAGTGTTAGAGCACATAACGATGCGTTGTTGAAGAGCTTATGGAAATCTACTACATTTACGAAAACGTTTCAAGTTATTTAGTAAAAATTCAATAGGAATGCTACGACGAAGGCTAAAACGTTTGGTTTGATGGAAGACAAAGTGTAACAGGAATACGGAGACGGAGACGGATGCCAAGACGAACACGGATACGAAGAAATTTGTGCAGATGAATAGGACCACGAAGATGTATACGAGGCGAACACGAAGGCGGATACCAAAATTATGTCGAAGGCGAAGACAAATCCGACGACGGCAACACGATGACGAAAACGAAAACGAAACGGAGACAAAGACGCAAGCAAACGCAAAGGCACAGACAAAGACAATTACGATAACGAAGACTCATACGAAAGCAAAGTTGAATAGGAAGACGAGTGCGAATACGAAAATTAAGACCCAGGGTAATACAAATTTATACAGAATGAAACGAACTAGAAATGTACTGAAGGATATTTCACTGGCTCAGGTGCACTCCTTTTTTGTTTAACATCTGAATCGACTAATAACGAAAGGTCAGAATGTCCCCGAAGTGGAAGTTTTAATACAATTAAAGTAGAAAAAAACCTGACAAATTATCTTTGGTGATTAGCCAGCCGTTTCTTTATAAACAGTGATTAAGAACTAAAATGGTCGCTTTTAATTGCGCACACAAAAACTTTGATTCCTCATAATGATTCATGTTAATTTATGACAGTTTTTGACTCTACTTTTATTAGGTTAAAGAGTAGGTAAGTATTATATGTAGTACGTACATTAGGGTGGTCAAACTTTTTTTTTATGCAGTTAACCCCCAGAACTCCAGAATATCGAAAATAAGTGGAGCGTATTTTCTTAATTTGAAATCGATTAACATTGAAACGGAGCATTGAAGTTTTCCATATATTTAATTTGTAGAATTGCTATGAAATCGGTAAAAATTAAATATCTTTTGATCGAATAAAAATATTTCCATTCAGAAATCTTTCAAAATAAAATTATAATGCATATTTAACTTTATAATTTATAACCGATAATCTTAACTCTTGAATACAAAAATTACTTAATTTATGTGTTGAGCACCATAATTCTATGACTGGAAGATTTCTTAAGGGAAATATTTTCATTCGACCAAAAACTATTTATTTTTAACGATTGTGCAGCAACTCAAGTATACGAAAAAATTCAACGAACCGGCGGCACGGCCGTAAATAAAAAATAAAAATCAGGTCTTGATTTCTTTCCATTTTCTATAATTCTGTGGGGCGGAAGCAGATAATTCCAAAAAGTTGATTTGCCTGCGTATTTTTCGACCACCCTATTGTATACATGTACTACATTGATTTGAATAATTTTTATGATCAAACTTGATACCAAATCAACGAGCGATTTTGTATGTAACGTACCTGCTTTACATATGTACACACGTATCTAAATTAATATATACAAATTTTATTATTAGCTATCATAAAAACTTTCCCAAAATCGATAAAAACCTCGTAATAACCACAAAATAATTTAGTTTCATTTAGGTAAAGAGTTAGCGCGTTTCGAAATGTGTAAAGGTACATAAATTCGCTTTATATTTCACGTTCTTAGAACTGTGAAAATTTCGAAAATTCTCCTACTTCATAGTAAGCATACGATTTTTTTGTTTTTGTTGTTTTTTTTCAGTTACATTGCTCCTTTGTTCATTGGCCATCGTGGGCTTGCTCCGCAGTGCTGACGGTTGTGAAGTAAAAACGTATACGCAAAAAGTGGTGCCAGCATGTGATACTAATGATTTGATTATCAAATGGCCCAACTACGATGATCAAACGAAATATTATAAATGTATTCAAGTTAATAATGCGCAACTCATTGACTGCCCAATTGGTCAGGTATTTGTCTACGTATTGCAAACGTGCAAACCTTGCGCGGACTACTTGCCAGCGGTGGAGTGTTCGAAATTACCAACTCAAAACCCACCTGTATGCGTGGATATAAATGCTGGAAGTGGTGGTGGCAGCAGTGGTGGTGGCAGTGAGAGCAGCAGCACCACTGGAACTGTTACTTATCCAACACCCCGTTATCCAAGTCCGGCCACTACTACGCCGGTCGGTAGTGATAGTACAACTAGTTCTGGTAGTTCTAGTAGTACTAGTAGTGCTGGTAATGAGAGTTCCGTTGAGCCAAGGGAAGACTCTACAAGTACAGCTGAATCTACAGCTGAGTCAGCTACTACAACAACTGCATTCCCTGGCCCACCATCGCCACAAGCAACAGGTGGCACAACTCTTGTACCAATTCCTCCCACTCCAGCACCAACGCCACCCGTTATAGAATTAGTCCCGCCCACAGCGAGTGATTAAAATAAACAAAATCGCTAAATTTTGGAATCACCCGGGGAAGTTTTGGAGAAAAATAAATCATCAAAGAGATCAGAACTTGTTTTTTTAGTGTAACATGTGAACAGTGTTGCCAGATTTTTTTTTACAAAATAAATTTCCGGAAAGACCCATATTTTCGACCAAAACCTGCAAAAGCGAAGAGAGTTTTTAAAAAATTATGGTTTTAATTTAATGAGACATAAAAAACAAAAAAAACGATTAATTAAAAATAAAATAAACCGTTTAAAATACTTAACTCTAGAAACATCGACTTTGTAAAATGGAACATTTAAACCACATTTTGTTTTAATGAAAGTCATTAGCATTTGTTCGATACCTGAATTTTAGTACCTCCTGCAGAATTTTCATAAAGAAATCTTTAGTTCTTAAAATACATGGGAGTATTGGAAGTTCTAATTTATTTATTATTTTATTAAAATTGAATTGGAAAAATATAAGGTAAATATATGTATTTATCTTAACTCATGAATTGGTAACTATAACCAAATTATGTAACTGTAACCAAAACAGTCACAACGGGCTTTTCCAGCCTACGTGTGCTTCGTGCCCTGCGCGGTGGCAGCCGCTCTAACTGTAACCAAATCATGCATTGAGACAAAACATATTTAGTTTACTTACAAATAAACTCTTTCTCAGCGTAGGCATTAAAAAAAAAAATTAAAAATTATGCCATTTAGAAAAAGATATGTGAAAACAGACGATGCTGAATTTCCAATAGGCACTTACATGTCAAAATTTGTAATGACAATGTTGGGCATTTTTTAAATGACATATATTTTTTGTAATTCCAATTCCTAGAGGAAATTCTGCATTATGCCGGTCATCTTGAACTACACCTTTGGCTAGCTAAACGGTAAAATATTGTTTGATAAGCCAAGGAAATGTTGCTTTAAAGGAAAATGGGCCTATCTCGACCTAGGATACTTTAATTTAGGGGCACATAATGTAAACCATACAGACAAGATTCCAAAATTTGACTTAACTAAGAATTTATGACTAAAAGGCTAAAGATTCAAGCTTCCAGCCAAAACGAGAGAGCAAAATCTCGTTCAATGCTGAATATTCTAGTGATTACAAGCAGGTCTCTTGCAAACGGGCAAAATAATGATAATTAGCTTGACATGAAACGGATACTGAAAGCGTAATGTTCGTCGCGAAACATCAGCTCAAATAGTTTCAACACCCGACAACAATAATCTTCTCGATTTGACTGTGTCCCTAAACGCATACAGCGGGCACTACAGCATGGCAAAGGATCATTGAAATTAAGTTGTATGAGAGTAAAAGTAGCCGCAATTAGCTCTTTCTCCACGCACATTCCATTTAAGGACGAATAGACGGGAGGACCTGAATTGGAAGGAGCCAGCAGTGGTCTTTTAACGGATGGATTCGAGCTTGACGGAAAGGTCGGTGGAGGGGTCTTTTCCAGGGAACCTCCTACCAACCTTTCCAGGCAGAGGTTACAGCTATAAATGATCCTTGGGATCGCTTAGGGT